GGGGGAAGGCAGAAAGAAATGAGGGGTGACTGCCAACAGAACTGATACGAGCAGGAGTCGCCGAGCACAGATTTAGCTCAACTGGAACTGCGATTTTTAATTATTAAAAAGCCAACCAGATGCCAGGGTAACATAAGACACCTCGGTGATCAAAAACGGCAGGAAACAGAAATTCTTAAAATCTGTTCCTACTCCATATTTTTTAAAGACTCTGGCGATATTCTCTTAGTAGAAAGGGCTAAATGCAAAGTAACAAATCAGAGAAAATGACATAACTAAACACACACCAGCATCCTAATTCCTCTACAGATCTGCTCAAAAGACATCGATATCTAAATTTGAAATTTTAGATGAAAAGCCGCCATTAGCTGTGCTAATGGCTTATTTTGACAAATAACTTCTTTAGAGCTTGATCTCTTTAACTCTTAAAAAAAAAAGATGATTATATTTGCCACTCGATAATCAAAATAAATTTCAAACTCCACAAGAAGCGAGGGACTATTATTCGTAAAGACACTAATTCTCTTGGCCTTGATGGCTCTTTCAGAAAATATCCCGAGCAACAAAAATACAGATAATGCTGGGGAGAGGAACCGTGGATGCACACAGCATCTTTCCTGAGAGACTGAAATATTCTCTTGCCCCTGAAAATCACCAGCGCATGTACAAAAGTAGAACCAGTAAGTCTTCTACAATCGTAAACTTAGGATGTCCCATAGAATAAAATCATGGTATTATGAGAGCCAATTAAAACAACAACAACAAAAAAAAAAAAAAAAAGGAAAAAAGGAAAGAAACACAAGAATGAATCTGTCCTCCTACTAAAGCCAAAACCATACTCAACAACCTGCCTGAAACACTGAACATAAAGTCTGGTAGCCACATCAGAAGCAGCGAGCTTAAAAATACTTCTATAGGGGCTGGAGCAATAGCACAGCGGGTAGGGCGTTTGCCTTGCACGCGGCCAACCCAGGTTCGATTCCCAGCATCCCATATGGTCCCCCGAGCACTGCCAGGAGTGAATCCTGAGTGCATAAACCAGGAGTAACCCCTGTGCATTGCCGGGTGTGACCCAAAAAAGAAAAAAAAAATACTTCTCTAAAACCATAGATAGGGACAGTAGAGGGGTTACGGTGCTTCCCTTGCATGCTGCTGACCCTGACTCAATCCCCAGCCCTGCAAATGGTCCCCTAAACACTCCCAGGAGTAATCTCTGGGCACAGATCCAGGAGTAAGCCCTGAACACCGCTGAATATGGTACAAAAACTAGGGCACTTGCCCTGCACGCGGCCTATTCCATCTCAATTCCCAGCACCCCATAGGTTCTTCCAAGCCCCAAAAGATGTCACGTGATCCCTGAGCACAGAGCCAGAAGTAGACCCTGAGCACTGCCAGGTGTGGTCCCAAAACCGAAAGGAAAATGAAAGTTTCTCTGAATTAAAAACATTTAAAAAAAAAAGGGGGAGGAGCCAGAGTGATAGTATAGGGGTAAGGCATTTGTCTGCAGCTGACCCAGGTTCGATCCCCAGCATCCCAAATGATCTTCTAAGCACCATCAAGAGTAATTCCTGAATGCAGAGCCAGGAGTACTCAGGTACCCCTGAGTACCACTAGATGTGGCCGCAAATCAACCAAATAAACAATAACCATTTAAAAAAAAAAGACATTTACATATGGGGGTAATTAAGTGCCAAATAAGCAAGCGTCCAACCCAGGGCTGACTCCCAGCACATGCTCCCCCCCCCCCCCCGCACTACCCCCGCCAGGGCCTCACCCCCACCCCACTGAAAGAAAGAAGTGTCGACAATCTTCCCTGCATCCGTGGTGAGGGGTGAGGGCGGTGGCTTATCCTCAAGCCCCGAGATAGCTCTCTTAGAGGCACTGTCCACCCTGGTCAGCGTGGCTCTCGGCTCTGCCCCGCTCCCCTGCACTGACCCCTCTGAAGTCCCTGTCCCTTCACAGAAACGTGCTAACGCGTGTCCAGGTGCTCTCAAGAAGCTGCAGCCGTGGAAGCTTCAACAGAAACACAGTGGGAGGGAAGGAGCCACTTGGGTGGATGGGGCTGGACTCTGTGTGCATAAAACTGGATCACTGACAGTGACCGGAAATCACAGCGCCTCAAAACAAAAACACTTCAAGACTGTCTGCTTCCCCGCCCAGACGAGACCCTGAGTTGCCACCCACGGACAGGCTCCTCCGCTCCCGAACGGCCACGATCCCAGAGACCCACAAACCAATCTCGGAACCCAGCAGCTTCTGGCAGGAATGCTTCTTGGACTGTGACCTAAGCCATGGTCCCTTGCCGACCCAGGAGGGGAAGGGTGTTTGTCCCACCGCCTTCTCCCCCTTGGCGACAGCACTGTGATGACCACCATCTTTCAGAGCCTATTGGACAGAGATACGAGATTGCAATGATGGGGTGGGCGGGGCCTCTCGGGACAGGGGGGGTGGAACCGGCCCTCCCCCCAGCCTGGACGAGACCCCGAGTTGCCGCCCACGAATGACCATGATCCCAGAGGCACACAAACCAACCTCGGAACCCAGCAGCTTCTGGCAAAAATCTCTCTGGACTTAATTACTAAAATACCAGAAATCCAAAATCATTGATAATGAAGACATCATATACTATTCATTATCAGTAAAAGAAAACAAATTATCGAATGATGCCTTTTCGGCAAATCTGGTTGTTGGGGGCGGGGGGGTAATTCCAAATAATAATAGTGGGTCTTATGTTGAAAAATTGAATGTAATCAAAGCAAAGAGATAGTAAAGTGAAAATCATCTGCATCACAGGCGGGGGGGTGGGGGTGGGACAGGGGGTATATTGGGGTTCTTGGTGGGGACCACGTGCACTGGTGAAGGGATGGGTGTTTGATCTTTGTCTGAGCGAGACTTAAACCTGAAAGCTTTGTAACTGTTCTCACGGGGATTCAATTAGAAGAAAAGAACAGAAAGAAAAGAAAAGAAAAGAAAAGAAAAGAAAAGAAAAGAAAAGAAAAGAAGACTGTCTGGTGTGAGAGATGGTATGTGTGGTCCTTTCCCTAGCAGGTTTCTGCCCAGCAGGGCCGGGACCTATTTCCACCTGCCTCCAGTGGTTGTTCTGTTTTGGGGCCACACTCAGCAGTGCTCAGGCCTTATTCCTGGCTCTGTGTCAGGAGCCACGCCTGGCAGGCTCAGGGGACCATATGGGATGCCGGGGATTGAGCTCAGGTTGGCCGTGTGCAAGGCAAATGCCCTACCCGCTGTGCCCTAGGACCTGATCTTTATCTGACTAATCTCTTTAGACTGCTAAGTAGACAGTATGTCTCAAGGACTTTCCAAGATGCTGTGAACCTGATGGCCAGCAGCATTCTGGAGAAGCCTCTGGTGAATGAATCAGCAAAGCCCTGGAGACAGGGAGGCCGGCCTGCTGGCCTGAGAGCTGGGAAACAAGAAGCCTGGGCCGAACACGCGAGGCCCAGTCCCACTGTTCACTCCGATTCCTTCACTTGTCGCACCAGGAATTTGAAGAATTCCAAGAACCAATTCTAACACTTTAGAATCTCACAGCGTCATCGACGTCCTCGCTGGACTATTTCTAATGAGAGAGGTGACAGAAAAGAATAACTCCCCAGCACATTTAATCTCACAATTTTAAAAGTAAAATAAAAATAACCTCCTGAGTCTTCCATCTAAAAGGGCCCAAATGTTGCATTTTCGAGGGAATCGCCCAGTGCAATTAAAAACTAAAATATGAACGGCAATAAAAAATAAAAAGGACAAAGGAAATATATTTAAGCAGAAAGCAAAATATTTGATCTCCTGCCTCACAGCACCGAGTAAATGCTAAAGAACACTTAAAATAAAATGCTCTGCTAGTAATTAAAGGTGCCAAATACACTAATAAAAATGACTAGAGACCAGGGGACGGACAGAGGGTACAGTGCGTGCCCTGCAAGCGGACCCCGGTTCCATGGCTGGCATCTCCCGGTCCGAGCTCTGCCAGGGAAGGCCGTACTCTCTGTATCATAGGGCAAAGTGGCACAGCCCTGGCAGCCAGCAGTCAGCTTGGCTGAGAATTCTCTGGGACCCTCAGGCCTTATGAATACCACTAGGAGATCCCAGAAATGAAGTTTTTATTAGTAAAGACAATTACTGTTAAACAGTTACAAGTGGCAAGATATGAATCACCTTGAAGCTGTTTCTGAGTCTCAGATCTAAACTATGGGGACATCAAAAACCCCAATTTCTCCCCCAACAGAGAGAAAGTGGCCTACTGCAACCAACGTGCCCACTTTAGTCAGCCCAACCCTGACAGAGCTTGGAAGGTTCTGGACGGTTCCCACCATATCCCTGAGTGACTGTTTTGTCCCTGACGCTCAGGAATCACCCCTGGCGGTGCTCAGGGCACCTGGTGGGATGCCACGACGGAACCCGGTTTGGCCACATGCAAGGCGAGCGCCCTCTGCTGTCCAACCCCTCCAGCCCTTTGGCGCGATTTGAGGGGTCTTTTTCTTCTTTCTCGTTACCACAATGACACAGGCACTGCAGCAATCTGTGTTCAACCAGCACCCGTGTCTTTGTGTGCTGGGCCTCAGAAGATGGCTGTTTACAGTTTCAGCGGGGCTTTGCTCTGCTTCCAGTCTGGACTTCTGAGCTCATGGGGTGCTCGTGGCCCCATCAGGAACTGCAGGCCACCAACACTCAGTTGGACGGCAGCAGAAATACTGGAACCAATGCTCAGTGGGACCAGTAAAACTGTGAACTAATGCTCAGCTGGATGACAGCAATAATACTGGAGCCAACGCTCAGCGTGACGGCAGCAGTAAAACTCCCGCAGAGACGTCTGAAAAGCAGCATCTTAAGATGCTGGAGGGAAAAGAAGCACTCTGGGGGAAATGCTGATAACAATGAGTGGAAGTGAAGGTCCCGCCTCGGCTTCCTCCCCGCACACCCAACCACAGGGGGACAGGACAGTGGCAGTGGTGTCCTGGGCCGGAGGCGGGGAGCTGATGACCTACCTTGGGAGGCCTTGATGACATAGCCCCCCTTCTTCTCGCCGGGGGGCACCGCCAGCAGCTGCATGATCCTGTCCAGCAGTCCGTGGATGATCTCAAACCCGGGATTCTTGTTGTAATACACAGCACAGAGATGCCTGTAGTTCCTCGCGCCGACATCTAAAAAGAGTACAGAATCATCACGGGGGGGCTTGAAGGGCTGGAGCAACAGGCTTTGTTTGCAGACAGAGGCCCTGGGTGCGATTCCAGCACCTGCGCGCGCACGCGTGCACACACACACACACACACACACACACACACGCACACACACACACACACATACACACACATACTCTTTCTCTCTCTCTCTCTCCCCACCCGCTCCCACACATCTCCCATCAGAGAAAAAATTAAGGCATGGATTGGCCACAGGCCACACTGAATGTCACTTCTAAGGAACTGATTTACGAGACCTGAAAAATGACTCAGTTCTTAAAGCACCCGGGACAGCCTGAGGCCAGAGCCTCCTGCCTGCAGCGGCTGTAAGCACCCCCCAGGAACCCTGACAGGCCTCCTTTCTGCCACCCGCCCCTGACGAGGGAAAAACTATTTTAAAAAGAAATGAGTGAATTTCAATGCAGTCTGGCAAAACAGACAGAAATGAACATCAACAGTACACACCCTGAGAACCATCCGGCCTCAGAGACGTCAGGTAAGATATTTTTATGCATCAAGCGGCAGTACAGTAGGTAGGGCACTTATCTGGCATGTGGTCGACCCAGTTTCGATCCCTGGAACCCCACATCCAAGTGCAGAGCCTGGAGGAAGCCTTGAGCACTTCCTGATGTGGCCCCAAACCAAACGAACAAAACCCCCCAATTTCACTGAAGTGATTGGAAAGGCAAAGAGAGACCTATCTATACCACTGTCTTAATGAAAACTTCATACTTGGGGGGGAGGGGCACACAGGAGTTACTCCTGGCTCTGTGCTCAGGGGAGGATATGGAACACTGGGGATCAAAGGCCCTACCCGCCGTACTGTCTCTCAAGCCCCCAGGAAAAAATCCTCAACACAAAGAGGCCCCGAGAACATAAAGTAACAAAATAGGAGACCAACACCCAAGAGTGGCCGAGATTAGTACCAGGAATTTTACTCCATGGCTTGGAGGCCAGCCGCACATGCTAGGGGAAAAGGGAGCTCAGATAGAGAAGGGAGCACCAAATAAAGGGTGTTGGGAGGATCCTCCCAGGATGGGAGAAGCATGCTGAAAGTAGACTACAGACCAATCATGATTGCCACTCAATGCCTCTTTTGCAAACCACAGCACCCAAAAGGAGAGAGAGAACAAAAGGGAATGCCCTGCCACAGAGGCAGGTTGGGATGGGGGGGGATGGGGGGTGGGAGGGATACTGGGATCCGTGGTGGTGGGAAATGGGCACTGGTGGAGGGATGGGTATTTGATCATTGTATAATCAAAACCCAAGCACAAAAATTTGTAAGTCTACAACTGTACCTCATGATGTCTCACTAATAAAAATTAAAAAAAAAAAAGAGGCCCCAAGATAAGGGCAGGCCTTTCACACAGCACTGACTCCAGCTGCACAAGCCCGAAACCACCTTGGTGGGCAGGGGTCCCTGGAGTCCATGGGAACGCTCGGAATACCGCACAGCGTGCAAAGAACAGCATTCCAAACACCCACCCAAACAAAGCAAGAACAAACACTCGGAAACAGTACAAAGACTAGGAAATAAAGACAAGGTCACCAAGTCAAAAAATAAATAGAGTCCAGAGAGATGTAAGGGCTTAAGCTCCTGGCTTGCATGCAGCCGACCCTGGTTCAATCCCCTGTGGTCAACGCTCCCCTGAGCCCCCCTGGGAGTGACCCTCCCACAGAGGGCCAGGAAAAGTCCCTGAGCACCCCCAGGTGTGGCCCCAACTACCCCTCCCCCCCGCAAGGGAAAGAGAGTCTAAACTAAATCATATTGTTGACAGAATACATATAGGACAAAAGCCAGCGAAGAAGGAAGTGACCCTCACAAAAGTCAGGGTGACAACGACTCTGGGCAAAAGGCAAATGGCGGGGCTGGAGCAATAACACAGCGGGTAGGGCATTTGCCTCGCACGCGGCTGACCCAGGTTCGATTCCCAGCATCCCATACGGTCCCCCAAGCACCGCCAGGAGTGATTGATTCTTGAGTGCAAAGCCAGGAGTAACCCCTGAGCATCGCCGGGTGTGACCCAAAAAGCCAAAAAGCCAAAAAAAAAAGGCAAATGGCACGATGGAGAAGGAACATGGCAAAGCTTAAGTCCGTCAACACTCCACTTAATTTGGCTGGTTACACCAGTGCCGGCTCCCCACCTTTAAACTGTACGTGGTCTATACTCTGCACAAACATGAAGAAAAGAATCAGAGCTGATCCATAAGCCAAAAAGCCACATGCGTCGGAAAGACTGAGGAGACACATCCCTAACATGAAGAGGTCCTGTGTGACCTGGGGACTATCTTCCAAGTAGGATCTATTTTCCAGTTTTCCTTCATTAGCATACGAAGTCTGGGTTTTCAAACCAGGATAGACAAAACATGAAGTTAAAAAAAAAATGCATTGCCATTATCCAGAGGAAGGCAGAGGAATGACTAGATAGCACTGGATGATGAAAATACGATTCGGTGATAGAAAGGAATGGTCCGTGACTAATTTGACAACCTGGATGACCCTCAAGGGCATGATGCTAAAACGTTTCAAACAGTTCCACACAATAGGAGCCCATTTATTCCACATCCTGGAAAATCGCACCTCGTGCAACAGAGAAAAGGTAACAGGAGCTTGGGGTTAGATGTGTGTGTGTGTGGTGGGGGGGGGTGGTGATGATAGGGGTCTGGGGAAGGTAACCACACGAAGGGGTGACAACTGTTCTGTACAGTGAAGCCTGTATTTAAAACTCTTTACATCAAAGAGAGAAGGTTGTAAGGATTCAACATTAATGATGAGCATTTCGCTTTACACCACGTTAATACACTTGCAGGTACATATAAAATACCGAACCTCTTGCTCCAAAAGAAATACTGAATGAATACTGGCTTGGTTGTTTGTCAAATTAGGGATTGGAAACGAAGAAATTCACGTCCATCTGGAGGAACAACTAAGAACAACGAGCTGCTTCCTTACTAGCCCTACTGAGACAAAGTCATTTCATGGATTTTTACCCACAGATAATAGTTACTCGCCACAATTGGTAAGAAGTATCTTTTACCTTCCAAATATCCAAATATAAACAAGGGTATTTTAAGACGATGTACCGCAAGGCAAGTCCAGTGTCAAAACAAAACGACATGGCTTTAAGGACCTGATTTCACTTCCCATTGTTTCTCTTGAAATTGTAGTTTCCAAGAATGTCTTAGTGTGATAATTTACTGTACTCTAGTACTAAAGCAACACACAATAGCACATAAATAAGGCAAAAGGAAGCAACTACTAATAAGGTAGTCACTACGTGCCAAGTACTTTGTACCTCGATTAATCTATTGTCTTGTTTCAAGAAAATAATGAAAGGTAGTCTTGTCCTACAAAGGAGGATAAGGAAAACAAAATGGAAAAACAAAAACTTGCATGAAGAAACAAAAATTTGCTCCAAGTCATGCTAATGGACTAAAACTAACTGTAATTAATTGTATAGCAAGTAATTTATACAAGATTTGAACTTAATTATCTAAATCCAAAACTTAGTCAGGCTCTTTCCACCATTCTGTGGGAAACGCTGAAGGACTTAGACAAACTCTTTAAATCTCAAAGGTTTCACATGAAAACAGACAATTTAAGGAAAGGGCGGGCATATATGGACATATACCTACTTAATACTGTTAAATATGTGCATTCTTGAAATTTTTTGGGATGCTAAGCAGATGTTTTAGTCCTCAAAAATTTTCATATTTGACTTTTAGTTAAGCAATTGTAATGTTATTTTTAGATGTCAGTTCAAGTTTCCGGTCATCAACAGTATTGTAACTCGGAGAAAGTAAGTTCTGAGTGAAATTCCTGAGTAGACTTAACAGTTTCACCAGATAACATTTCTTAGTACAACTTCCCTGGAGGGAACACAAGCCCCAACTTAACCCTTCACTATTATTTTCTGGGAAAAAAAAAAAAGGGTACAGCACACACAGGTAACTTCTAAATGAGGGGCCAGGGCCCCATGCACACCACACAACAGCCAGGTCAGGAACAGCTGATTGAAGAACGGGCATCTTGCACTGCGATCACCATCAATTCCATTGACAAGGATGAAGAAAAGAGTAAGCGGAGGTGTAAGAATGAAGGTTAGTATTAAAACCAGGCAGGTATAAAACCTCATTCAAGCAACCACATATATGAACCGAGGGGCCTGATTCCTAGGTAGGAAAACACACGCACCCTCCCCCCCCCCCCCCACACACAAGCATACATGCACGCAAACACACTCCCTGAAAGGGGGAAAAAAATATGAAATGAAACAGAACTAAATTATCCCTTTCATATTACTGACTTGCTCCTGGGTATCTGGGCCATGTGGTACCCATTTGTTGGGCCCACATGCTTCCACTTGAACACACAGACACGTACTGAAGCTAGTTTGTCGTCCCGTCCTTACTGGGAGACACTAGCCTACCGGAACGCCACCACCCAGCACTCTCTCGGTAATGCCCCCTGGAAGCTCTATCCTGGTGACCTCTGCCTGGGACTTCTTTTCTCATCTCCAGAGCGATGGCGAACCTGCTTTCCTTGATAAGCCTGGCAACATCTGGCCTAAAGACTTAAAATTTCAAAAACAAAACCAAATTAAGTGAGAGCTGAGCAGCGGAACTGCAACAGAAAACAGGGGGCCTAAAACAAATTAGACTCTATTCAAGAAAGGTTCCAAGTGGGTTTTTTTCTCCAATGTGTTTTATTTTCTCTCTCTCTCTCTCTCTCTCTCTCTCTCTCTCTCTCTCTCTCTCTCTCTCTCTCTCTCACACACACACCACACACACACACACACACACACACACACACACACACACGGCAGAGTAAGCCTTATTTTAGATTTCATGTTGCAGTATTTTTAGGAAAGGCCGCAGACTTTTAGGGCTTTGTGTGAAACCTCCATGGAATTAGATTTTTTTTTTTAAACATATTTTATTTTGGGGTGGGGGGCTGGAGCAAT